CCCCCCCTTTTTTTTTTTTGAGATGCATAAATGTCAATTGAACTAAATGGCAGCCATATTGTGTTGCTCAAAGTGCCTGTAATGGATTAAAAACCTTAAAACCTTTTTCGTGACCCAGTTATTATAAACTTGTGCAGACCTCTGTTATGTAAAAAGGATTTCCTTTCTGCCGAGCCGCCTGCCGTTACTATCACTGTGTAGAAGGCAGCATCCATCTGCCTGTAATGAGAGGCTCATGGTTGTGACAGCAGGAGAGGATGTTAACATTAATATTGCCCCCCTTGGCTGAGCTCTTAGCTGTGCATATCTTTTGCTTGGCAGATGTAGACAGCTGGTAGTACAATTTGTTTTCATTGTAACCAGCTGGACATGAAAGTTTTCTGATGGTGGAGAAATCTAATCAGCCCAAAGCTGAGTGTGCTGCATGTAACTGTTATGTAACTGTCTATATGAGTAACTAGTAATAATAAAATGAAAACAAATGGGTAGCTGTTCACTGGCTTTCACACGTATCACATTTAGTTGGCTCAGTTGGCTGCAGTCAGATTAATGCATCCAAGTGCTTTAAAAATGGTATAAAATTGTATTTTTCTTTTCTTTTTGAGCGCAGTTTAAATCGGCTCATGCATTTTCTGCAATATTAAAATTGACAAACAAGCGGAGACACACACACACAGTTTTGGATGTTGCTCTGCTCATATCTGTAACGCTTTCTTTCAGATAAAGCTTGCATACTGCATTTACCTAATTGTATCTGTCTACACTTGTATTTTTATTGATGATTGTCCTTTACTTTGTTCATTATTCTTACTTGAACCTGTTATGTTCTGCTGCAGTGTTAATTCTTGATCTCTCCTACAGACTGCACAGAGGAAGATCCGGGAGATCATTCAGCAGGTCAAACAGCAGGAACAGAAGCACCAGCAGGGCGCCGCTGTGTCACCGCACCACTCCAAGTGACCAGCCGGGTGGCTCCAGTGGGCACCAGCCAATGAATGTAGCCCTCCCAAATGAACAGAGACCTATCCAGACTAAGGCCAAGGCCAAGGGGGACATGCAGGGCTGACCAGCAGCACCGGGATCAAAACCAAAGAACTTCGCTAGGGGGGACACAAGTGAGAGCCAAAGGCTGAGGGCATTGTGTGCACTGCCAGCCCTGTGAGAGCAGATAGATTGGGAGAAATCGTACTGAAGCTTAAAAAAAAAAAAATTAATAAAGAAACAAAAAGACCAAAAAAAAAAAACCTACAAGAAAGGCGGAAATGGCAGAAAATTTGGGAACTGTTGTCTTCACGGTTTAAAAAAAAAACTAGTTTGTCTCCCTGCATAACGTTATCTCTTTAGTTGGACTAACATAGGCCTAAAAAAAGAAAAGGAGAAAATGCAACTCTATTTTAACACGAGCGTGTACGAGGCATTGTGATTGATATTTTGGGTTAGAGCGACAGCCAGCGACAGCGGACTCCTTCTCTCACGCGTGTTTGAGATATTGTGAGATCAAATATCCTTAGCAGTATTAATGCAGTAGAAACGTGTATGGATACACACTGAGAGCATGCTCTGTTATTTTATTCATCAAAATGACAGTAGAGCTTGGTGTTAGTATTTTGCTTGTACCTGAGATTGATTGACTGAGTAATCGATTGATTGACAGCCTCCCCTTGTTTGTTCCCATTTTTAGGCCACTGAAATTTGAAAAGAAAACCCCTATAAGTAAATAAGGTGAATGGTTCTGAGTCTTTGTAACAAGCCTGTGTGTGTGCCAACGCAAAAGATAACGTCCCTTTCAAATATATCTCACCATTCATATCTGATACTAAGCTTTTTTTTTTTTTTCTCTTTTCTTCTAATTTCTGCTTCACTTCTCATCACTCTCTCTCATCGGACACCATGTCTTTTCTTTTGTTTTTGTTTGGGTTTTTTCTTCTTTTTTTCTTTTTTTTAAAAATGGGATAAAAATTTTTCCGTAGCTTTTTGATAACCTTGAACTGACTGCCACTTTTGCTCAAGAGAGGTTAAATGCAACTGAGGGATTTTTCTTTTTTTCTTTCTTTTTTTTGTAATCAGTAAAATTCTGTCATGCTGTGCAGTAGACGTCGTCTGTGTTCACGCTCGTCGTCTCCTCTTTAATCAGAGCAAAAACTGACGTCTTAACGAGCGGTGCGCGTTCGCCGGTCTTCTTCGGACGCGCGCCGCCACACGCTTGGCCTTATGAGGACGTCGCAAGGGCCAGCACAGAATGTGAGCTGAGGGCCCGGTAAAGGAGGGGGACAGGGTTCGGGGCAGGGTTGGGAGGGTTAGGGGGAGGGAGGGTGCAGACCTCTGGTGTGTGGGGTGGCAGCGAGGTTGGATTTTAGGGAGGCGCTGTATGACCTGTGGTACACGACCAGCCGCAGCCGCGTTTGGCTTTAACCCTCTCTTGTCAGGGAGCTTTCTAAAAATGGCGTGACAGCTGTGAATGTACAAAATGCAGCCTTTTTAGAAAAAAATACAGATATCACCCCTGCCGTGTCCAGCAGGCCAGGCCAGCGGCACACGACACAGATTGTCATCCTCTTGCTCTCTGTTCTTTTCACTTTTAAAAAAAAAAAGATTTTTATTAAAAAAAATTTATTTTGGCGAGTTGGCCGCCTGCTCTGCGGGCACGCTGGACACGCAGGTCCTGGTGTCCCTTTGTGCTTTACTTTGAAGAACATAGAAGCTTGTTGCCTTATTTTGTCACCTTTCATACATCACCCATCAGCTTCATCTTCCAGACGCAAGGTTATTGCCAATACGCACAGCTTCCTCCGTGTGTGTGTGCGCGTGCGTGCGTGCGTGTGTGTGTATATATATATAAAAAGAGAGAGTAATATTTATGAATCTATTTTTTCCTATTTTGTCATGAGAGCTATTGATAAGAAACAAAAAGAAGACAAAGTCCTTTTCTTTTTTTCCTCAGTGGGACACTGCCATATTATTTTGAAGGGAAGTGTTTATTTTCTTGAAAAAAACTAAAACAAAAACTAGACTATGAATAATAATATAATGAATAAAAACCTGAAAAAATAGGAAAGCAGTAAAAGTGAACCACCGCGTTAACTTGTGGTCGGGATGTGAACAGTGCGCATGTCAGTATTGTGATCTACCTCAGGCTTCAGGGTACCTCAGTCCAATCTTTCATTTCTCCCTTTTTCCACATTTTTGTATGCCTTGTTAACTAATCATTTTGAGCGTTTTTAATTTTCTTTTTTAATGAAATAAAAAAAGATAAAAGATCTACAGTAATCTCTACTCTCTTCAGGTCCAGCCGACTAGTGAAACTTTGTAAAAGAAAAAATCAACTAAAATAACCGTAGTCAACGTTGTCGGACTGTTTGCCTGGACGCCATACAACCTCTTAATGATACAAAAGAATTTCCAAGTCAGTTTTTTTTTTTTTTTTGTTTGCTAGAAAGGAATGAAGAGCAGGATCTAAGGGGTACATACCTGCCCGATGTGGTTCTGAATGTGGATGTTGTGTACTGATTTCACCTTCAAAGAAATTAAAGAGAACGAAAAAAAAAGAAAAATCAGTTGATAGAAACAGAAACTAACCGACTGTACCTCCTGTTTTTGTTTTTTTTGTTTGTTTTTCCCAACCGTACCTCCAGGTTTTTTGAGACTTTTAACAACAAACCACGACGTTTATTCACTTGTGGAAAAAAATAACATAAAAAAATTAATTACTTTTGTTTTGTTTTTTTTATAACAACCCAATTTTACCAGCTCTATTTGATAACAGCATTCTCTGGGGTTGATTTGATGAAAACACAAAGCTGCAAAAATACACTGACAGGACTCTTGAACGTGGTGTGAAGCCCTAGTCTTCTGTGTAGAATGTAGAACAACTCTAGTCGTTGAAATGTCACTGTGTACGACAGGATAACTGTATATCTGTAAACATGTACAATAGTCGCACATTAATGCATCGTTTTCTGTCTCTATAACACCTACAAGTCTGCGCCTGCATTGTGAGAAATGGTGGGAGAAGTTTAGAGCGTCACAGGCTCCCTCAAGCTGACCTCTAAATGGTTTTCTCATCGATCTACCGGTTATTACATTTATTTTTTTTTGTGCTGTACATTTCAGAATTACCTCTGAATCCAAGGCTGACTTAGTTACAGTTACTAAAACCAGTGTAGGGTAAAGGAATATAATAAATAAATGATGTAGTAAAAGTTTGTTTGTTTTTGGCACTATTTTAGGGATTTTTTTTTTCCCCATCAGATGAGGATCCTTTTTTTTTTTTTTTTTGGTCCCAGTGAACACAGATTAGCAAAATAAAACATAAAGGTCTATCAAACTCACACAATGCCTGGGGCTGCTTCAGCACGCCTCCACCACAGCCGGTACAGTACCTCATACTGATGATGTTAGCTCGCCAGACCTGATTCAATTACCCTGACCTTACCCACACGAATGCAGTACAGTGCTTCTGTTGGAGCGCTTGACTCCTGCGGTGGGCTGCTTCACTTTAGTAGGGCATGTCTGTTCGCAGTAGCACTGGAAAATTGAATCTTGTCACTTACGGTTTGTCTGACTGGCAGGAGTAGGGTTTTTTTCCTCTTTTTTTTTTCCTAGAGCAGATTTGAAGTTCTTTTCTCGCATTGCAGAGGACTCCTCAGGCCTCCGCCTCTCTTGTGTTTTTGGCTCTTTACTAGAAGAGCAGGTTTCCCCTCAGCCACAATCTGAGGCAAAACCTGCAAACATCATAGTAACTTTCTTTTTTACTTCCAAGGATTTTGGTGTTTCTAGGTTCAGTAGGGTGTTGCTAGGCATTAATTTCAGTATCAGAAAAAACACACTCGCATCACTAAGGACGCACAGTGCTGTTAGTCATATCGCACAGCGGTTGAATAACTTAGGCTTTATTTCGTTTTCTGTTGATCTGGTTTTCTTGTCAGTTACACTGATTAAATGTAGTCTGGAGCAGTAGCTGGGATTCTTTAATATCCAGTCATGTTAGATCACTACTTGCTGTTAAATTGTGTCCTAGCTAGGATTTTAAACATTTTAAGATTGGGATGGGGGAGGTGGGGGGATAAGAAAAAGAAAATGCAAAGTAGATATGAGTGGGCAGAGTAACCAGGTCTGAAAATAAAAGTGCTGGTAAAAGTTGTTCTGCCTATGGGACTGAATATTCAACACCATCCAAATTAACAAAAACAAGTATGGATCAGGTGATGAAGGATCAAGTCTGGTCAGATGTGCAGAACCACAGCAGTGGTTTTTTTGTTTTGTTTTGTTTTTTTGTCGTCCTAACTTGTGAACTGAGAAAAATGCAAAGACTTGCATGAGACTATTGCAGGCGATCCAGTATGTACTACACGTCATATAGCACTATACTTCAATTTGTGGTTTTACATCGATCCGACTCTTAACTGCTCTTCACCATTTGGGAGATTCCTTTTGTTTCCTCAGTAGGTCACAAACCCTCACGTCCTACATTTCCCACAGGCCAAAAGGTCCCAAAAACACCTCAAGGTAATTGGTGACTGTGCACTGGACAGACATATGATCCAATGTTACTACATCTCGTGGATCCGTGCCTTTCTGGTAACAGCCATGCTGTTGTTTTGAGTTGTGAGTGAACTGTATTGCTGAGCAACCTGGATCTGAGCAATAAAGAATATTTGAAAGAAAACTTTTCACGTTTTATTATTTCAAAGGTTTTGTACCGCTCTAATAAAGGTGCTTTCAACACTTACAATCTGACACACCAAAGGTCAGTCACACTGAAAAAAAGCCCAATGTAAGTAAAACCATTAAAAAAAAAATCCCTTCATCCACCGAGTGCACTGGAGCTTCTCCTCAGTGATTCTGTTTCATCTTGCACCGTGCACAAGATCACCAAGTATTAAATTTGAAACCCATACATTAAAACAAAATATACAAATCAGAAGAAAGACATTTTACTGCTAAACCAACAAAAAGACTGCAAAGAAGAATTTTTTTCTAGCAGGATTAAAGCTTCCAGTCACCCAAATTAACTGCACATCGGTTTTCAGACAATACCAGAGAACACCATAACACGTTAAACACGTCTCATATAACAAGCCATTTAATCCGGTCACGCTTCTTTTCCAGAGGTCAAATTCTGGCCTCTAAATGACCCCCCCCCCCAAAAAAGAAAGATTAACACTGAAACTGCAAGAAGCGATTGTCAAAACAATAAAAAACATAACATACTCGTATAAACCAAAAAGAAAAATCATAAAAGCCCCACAAAACCATCAACAAACATTTACACCATCTCTTTCTGGTGCTCATGGAGGTAGAAGTGTGAGTTCAAAACTCCACAACAGGCACTTTGAACACTTGCTTTCTGAACATGAGTGCAAGAGCAAAATTTCCTTAAAATGCCCCCCTCCCCTTCGTGTCACCACTGTACATTCCTACATCTATAAACATTTACTGCTGTGCCAACATGTGGCACGGAAATATCTGGTACGACATAATTCTCCTCAAATACTCCCACTGTGATTTGTCCAGGTGGCTCTGCAACAGTAAAGCACTTTACGTGTGTGTGTGTGTGTGTGTGTGTGTGTGTGTGTTTCATTCGCTCTAGAGGGCAGAAGGCATCAGTATGTTAACAAACAAACTCAGTCCCAGGATGGATCACTTGACCTTCTTATTGAGTCCATTCTGTGACTGGATGCCAAGTTTGAGTCGCTTCTGACTGAAGCGGCGGATGAGGGCACCAGGCAGCAGAGCCATGCAGGCGATGGCCAGCAGCTGCAGGAGCCGCTCCCAGGAGAACAAGTCATCCAGCGATGACACCTCAGATAGCATGACGCCTGTCTGGACGCAGATGAAGTTGTATGGCAGGAGGCCTGAAGAAGCGGACAATAGAGCAAGAACAAATTGTGCTGAAACACGATGGGTAACTTAATTTGCAATGACAGATGCAGCGTTGTGTTGTTGTTGCTTAACCCTGTAAGGCCCAAGAACCCATAATCCTAACCCTATGCTATCACATGAAAACTGTGTTTTTCCCCCCCCTTTAAAAAACAGTTACTTGTTTTTACTCTATTACAACTCATGTGGTTAAACCGGAGTGTTGGCATATGCCACCATATAAATTCTTAGTGTGCATATCTATGTAGAAACCAGGCTTAAGTCTGTGCTGTGAAGAGGAGTTTAATTAGGTTTTATGCAAGCTGTAGGAGGCCTGGCACGAGCTGGTAAGTAACAACATCACAATCAATCCGATTTTTATTTCGAACATATAAGTAATAATTTTGTTAATACCCTTAAAAACAAACAAATGCATTTATCAAAATTAGTAAGGAAAAAACAATGTTTTCATGTGTGTGATGGGCGCTGGATACTAAGAGCCCACATGTGGCCGACACTGTTGCCAACATTTATACCTGTTCTGTTCCTTTTCTATTAACGGTATGATTTAACTTTCAACCTCAAAGTCAAAGTGGTTGTTGCTCTCTGTGCAAGTTTAATGACCATGACCAGATCAAAGATGCCTGCAACTCGTTTAAAGACGAGGAAATCAGTCAGTTTAAGTCAGATATGGTTATGATTTTTTATAGGCAAAGAATTATCTAAATCTAGAGGTGTATAAATAGATATAGCAGAGTTTTCCAGGAAGCGATAATTCAAAAAGTTAAAGCTAATAAGCTTGGTTTTAGCCTGTCAATAGTGACTGACTATTTTAAAAGCTGAAGCCGATCGTCATCCAGTATTTTGTTTTCAATGTGGAGTGCTAGACGTACCTCACTTAGTGTCACCAAGCAGAAAATCTGTGTGTGCTTACCAATGAAGACTGAGCAGAAAAAGAAGGTGATGGG